GGATCCATTTAGAAATCATTTGCTAATGGAGCTTTATTCCCAATAAGTCTTTTGATGGCGAAATAGGTCTAGTGAATAAGTGTAGTTATTGTATAAATATTTTTTTTGACAACTTTTACTAGAAAGTCTTTAGTGTATAATTACTTATCCAATGTATTCTTTGAACTTTTAGTATCTAAACCTATCCTACAAAATAGATGAGTCTGCAACAAAATCTTTTGATGCATGCCTAAGACTAAAGTCTTCTTTATCTACATGTAACCCCTAATTTCATCTTTTGCTTTTTGAATTTCTAACGTGGAAAGCTCTTATTCCCACTATTGCCATTGAAGAGTTTCCTTTTCTCTTTTCTATCTTAATAAGTAGTGGAATATACAACTATTTCTTTTGGGATTATCTATGCAGCTTTCAATCCTCACCGCCCTATATATATTCAAAGATGGATCCTATTCTCTTCACTCCCCAGCTCCCACCTGTTCACATCTTTAGCTAAACCTCTTTTTCAATCTCCCACAACCCTCTCCACGGCTCCAAGGCTCCATCCCAACAAACATATTGGTCCATACATCTTCATTAAGCTCAAAAAAAGGAAAGATTGAGAGGAAAAAAGCAAAGCAAATGGTAGAGATGGCAATATGGTCAAAAATCACTTCAATTTCTTCAACCAACACCACAACTTGTTCTTCTTCATCAGCCTCAGATCATAATCCATCATCAAACTGCTGTGGTTTGTCAAGGCTGATGAGGAAGCTCAAGAAACAAAGGAAAATGCTTTGTTCTACAAGTAGACAATCATCCTTCCAATGCCGGTACGATCCCATGAGCTATTCCTTGAACTTTGACACAACTGGCTCAGGAAGCATTGTAGATGAAGATTATTACAAGTTCTATGCTTTTTCTTCAAGGTTCGTTGCAACCACTCCAAGAAATGATTGCCAAAGACTGGTGTCAACTTCCCACTAGTAAAAAAAAGTCGTATAATGCAGTTTGGGTTTTTTTACCAAAGCCCTATATATGTCAATCATGCCTTTAGATGGCAATTTGCTGTATACAGTTTTGGAAATCAAGATCATCCCTAGATTTTGAAATGAATTTACTTTTCCTTCTTTCTTTCTTTCTTCCTCGGATTCTTTTTCTTATTCTTATTTTTTAATTGCACGAGACAACAGGGATTAAAGCTCAAAACCTCAGTGACACTAGAAACTTGCACGATCAAATTATACCATGTCAATAATAACTATGAAAATTCATTATATTTAAGACAATCTTCCATAAAGGGAAATATCAAAAACTCAAGTGTTACATCCGAAATACTAACAGAAAGAAGTGGGAGAAAATTCGAGTTGTGGACTTCTTGTGTAAGCACTTATTACTTGCAGCAGAATAATGTGAATGAGCCGACAAAGGGCAATTGGAGATGGAAAAAGATTACTAGTCCTTTTTCCTACTTCTTTTTCTTATTTTTGGGGCTCTTTTTTGGGGCACATCGATCTTCATTGTTCTGCTATACGAGTTGGTGGTGCATTGGGTGATCGAGCGAGGGTGTCAATTTCAAAACATGGGGTGTTCTGAAAATGTGCGACGGATTGTCAGTTTGTGGTAGGTCAGGGTGAAAAAGGAGTGGAAGAGTAAGAGAGGTATAAGATAATGTTTGGCATTGGGATGCATGTGCCATGTGCTAAGGTAACACCTTCAAGGTATCAAAGTTGATGCATTCGTACTAGTTTTTTTTGTCAAAAAAAAAAAGGACCTGGTTCCACTTCAGGCCCCAACCCTTATTTGGGTTGTTGGATTATTCCTCATTTTTGTTACAAGGGTCGAACTTATATATAACCATACTCATATATATAAGTTGGTGCGACAAATTAAGGGTAAGAAACAAACCAAAAAGAAAAAAAAGTTTAAGAGAAAGAGTAAAAGAAAAAATAGCAATTCACCTTTTATTCTTGGAGGAATCAAAATTTTGAAAATTAAAGATTAATGAAAAGTCCAGAATATTTCTTGATGTCATTGCTCTTGCTCTAGGTTATATTTGTTTGAAAAACTCGTGGTAGTTTTCAACGCTCAGAAACTGTGTAATTTAGGCTTAAAACCAAATTTCATGTCAAATTTCAGAGATTTGAATAAATCTACACATGCTTCTGTGCAAAACTGATCAGAAAACAAATGGGAAGATCTCAAAGAAACTATAATGAGATAAAGCATGTTGTGTTTAGGACTAGCTGCAACTAAATTGGAAAAGGAAATGCCTAATCTCAAATGAAGTATCAAAAAATCACTAGCTAGGTTAATGCACTAAGCTAGGTTGTGACTGCATAATTGTGTTGGCAATCAAATGTATAACTAACCTCTTACCCTACTCCAATATGTTAATGTGTTCAAGTGAAGATCATAATCATCTTAAAATTAATAGATTCAGGCTATGTGATTTGAAAAAAAATTATCTACCAAGTATAGGTAAGTATGAAATCAAGGGTCTGTCTAAGATATAGTTCTTCAGCTATCATGTTTTCCGAAATGTAACATTAATTAGAAAACATAAATAAATACAAGATACGGTAGGTAAGATTAAATAGGGAAAGTATATAAATATAAGGAAAGGTAATAAATTTTAGTATATGTATTAGGTGAATTTTAGATATGTTATCGAGTGCTCACTCAGTTTTATGGTTAGAAAAATCATAAAATCAAAACAACGTTGTCTTAAAAAAAAATTAAAATTATCCCACAAGTGGATTACATTGCAGAATAATTCTGGACCAAGAGGCTGTTTTCAATTGATTTTGTTTCATGTTTGTGGCCATGGCTAGTTGGATTTTACCCTATTATCTAACTATGTAATGTTAAAATTATTCACATGCAATTGGATACGAATCCCATATCACAAGTGGCATGGCATTTGCCTCTCAGTGTACTTTCTTACATGCTCAGTTGGCTTAGGGCTGGACGGGGGAGTTAGGTCACGGGCTTGGGGTCACTTCGGACAACTGCTAAGTCCACAAGTTCGGTCACGGGCTTGGGTTCAATTGTCTCGCGAATATACTTTAGGAGAGTACGATAAAACACAATTAGTGCCATCCTTATTAAAAGTAAACTTTTTATACACCACCTGAGAGTGTATATAATTTTATTATTATTTGATACATGATAATTAATCTTATTTTTTATACATTGATAATGTATATATTATTATCATTTGATAGATAATAATTGACCCGAATTTAAATTATAAACTGAAATTTTGATTATTTTTAATATACCCAACAGTGGCGTTGTATTTATTGTTAGTGCATATAAGGTTAGCTTTTGTTATTATCTTATATAAAGATATACTTTCTTTTTAAAAAAATCATTTATGCTAAATGACAATGGAGAAATATCCATATTTTTCTCTATTATGTTTTTCTTTGCATGTTCTGAGCACATTAATTTGTAGTAAAATATGCTAGGAGATATGATACAACATACATATATAAATTAATCCAAGAAATAAAGTTCCCAAAGTATAAAATCAGTTTTCTAAGATATAATTCATACTATCTATTGCTTTCTAATCATCCATTTTTTTTGTTGGGAGGGGTTGTTTTATCTAAACTCTACAAATTTTGATTCACTAGTTAAGAGTAAGGTTCCGTTTGATAAAACTGAATCTGAATTCTGAAGTCTGAATTCTGAAATCTGAATACTGAAACAATTAATTTGCTGAATTTTAAGTACTGAAAAAAATATATGAATGTCTGAATTTTAATGCTAAACCTATTTATACTGTTTGATAAATATTTATAACTGAATGCTTAATAAGTTTAATTTGACAATTTTGCCCTTATATCATTTCATTCAAAAAAGAAATAGAATCTATGATTTAATTAGTTTAAAATTGTTAGGTATGAAAATGATAATATTTATTTTTAAATCAAATTAATATAAAATATGAAATATATTATATGAGAAGTATGGAGAAGATGTGAACGTCATTAAAAAGGGAGAAAAGAGAAACTAAAAATTGTTAGATAGAGAATATTATGTTGTTTAATTATATAAGAATTTTGAATATAATTAACAAACAAGGGTAAATTTGGTAGATAAGATAAGGTAGCTGATGTAATTATATTAATTCTTATCAGAATTAAGCATTCAGTTAGGATTCTTGTGCTGAAAAAAATACACACAGGTTCAGCACTGCTTAACAAGTTCAGCAAATAGATTTTCACTTATCAAACACTCAAAACATCTGAATGTCTGAAAAAATTCAGATTCAGCACTTTTTTATATTATCAAACAGACCCTAAGTCTTTATAAGTTTTCAAGGTTAAAAGATAATTGTTCCTCAATCACTCAATCTAAGTGTAATAATTAAAGTCTTCATTCAATATCAAATAGTTGTACATAATTGCCATAAAACACCTCATTTGCTGAAGTGCAATGTGAGTGCATACAACGCATATGTTTCAAACTTTTTCACTATTTAGTGTATGGATAATCATGATGAATGCGAACATCAATTGAAACCCTCTAAATATTGAAATTCACCCAATTTCCTACATCTCTAGAGAATCTTTAATCTCAATTCTTCGTATTATCAAACCTCTAAATGTTTAACAAAATCACCGCATTAGCATAAAACTAAATTAATTTTAAATATCCTGATAATGTATATACATTAACATTTTTGACGCACGTTACATGTGTCAAAATAAAGATCAAATTCAAATGTAAATAACATACATCCAAATGTATTAACGTATACATAGTCAATAAATACAAGATTAATCCTAAAATCATTGTAGGAAGATTGTGGATGAGCAATGAGACACACAAAGTGAGAATCAAAAGTTTTCTGAGGGTGCATATAGTAATTAGCTCAAACGGAAACAGAATGGATCCAAGCCCCAAATTGACCAATAAAAATGATCAACATTCTCCGCTTGTTGCCTCCAAACTTTCCAATAATTAGAGAATCACCCATAATTATCTTGCCAATATTCCATTTAAACCCAATTGTAACGCTGGTCTAAAACCAATGCTACTGTCTTGTTTTACAAAACCCTAGTCTCCCCTTCCTATCCCCCCAAACCCCCCAAACAACTACGAAAAACCCTCGAGAACAAAAGTTTCAGCTCCGGGGGTTTCCGCCATAACCCAGCAACAATGTCGATGTCGAAGAGCTCCAAGATGCTTCAGTACATCAACTACCGGATGCGGGTCCACATCCAAGACGGCCGTCAATTAGTCGGAAAATTTATGGCTTTCGACCGTCACATGAACCTCGTCCTCGGCGACTGCGAGGAGTTCCGGAAATTGCCCCCTACGAAAGGCTCCAAAACTAAGGAAGAACGAGAGGATCGCCGCACTCTCGGCCTCGTCCTCCTCAGGGGCGAAGAAGTAATTTCCATGACTGTCGAAGGCCCTCCTCCTCCCGACGAGTCTCGTGCTAAAGCTGCCTCAGCTGCTTCGGCAATTCCTGGCCCGGGTATTGGTCGGGCTGCGGGCCGTGGTGTTCCCAGCGGGCCGCTTGTTCAGGCACAGCCCGGTCTTGCTGGCCCGGTTAGAGGAGTTGGTGGGCCTTCTCCGGGGATGATGCAGCCGCAGATTTCTAGGCCGGCGATTCCTCAGGTGTCGGCTCCTCCGATTTCGTACCCGCAGCAGCCGCCTCAGGTGGTGAGGCCTGGAGGGCAAATGCCACCGCCGCCTATGCCACCTATGGGGAGAGGGCCGGTGCCTATGGCGCCACCGCCCCAGTTTAGGCCTGGGGGCCCGCCTCCGCCTGGGCAGTTCCCGCCTCAGTTCGGACAGAGGCCTATGGTTCCTCCACCACCTCAGTTTAGGCCAGGGGGCCCACCTCCGCCTGGACCACCTCGACCTGGGATGCCTGGAGCTCCTCCACCTCAGTCTCAGCCTCCTCGTCCCGGTATGCCCCCGCCTCCACCTGGTGGTGTGTTTGGACCACCTCGTCCAGGAATGCCGCCTCCACCTAATGCTCCACCGCAGAACCAGCAGTAGTTGAGAATATGATTTATCAGGTACATTGTGGATTAGGTTTTTATAATCTTATTTGAAGTTTGGTGAAATTCAGTCTTTTGACGACAGAAGTTGGGGTACCCCTTATTGCATTATAAGAAAATTTGGTGAATCACATTTTGAAAATTTGATGCAAATGTTTGCTGGTGTCTACGCAATACAGGAATTTTTTGGCTAGTGCTTGTTGGTTTATGTGTTATTACATTTCAAATTGGTATATTGTATTTTTTGTTTATTGTTGTTCCTCTGGATAATTTCTTGGTCAATGTAAAAACCCAATATTTGGGGGATATTAAGATCTTTAAACAGCTTATTATGCGGATATTTAGTGAAGAATGTTTTCGTCAGTTATATAATTTTGGGCGGTAAATGAACATTCATATGGTCTTCTCTTTAGTTTTATTTCCGGTGCTAGTTGTGGTGTTGGGACTCTTTGTCCTTGCCACTGTGCATCTTCTGTCAAATGCTCATGTGCATGTTAAAGATCCTTAGAAGCATATTACAAAATTTGATGAAAACGATTATTAGTTTAAATGTTCCCTTGTGGGCACTTCGTAGGTGGTTGCGATGCATTTTAGAGTCTTCATATTAAATCTGTATGGACCATAAAACAATTTAGTTGGTCCCATTTGATGGTTGTAAATTTTGTTTTAATTTGGAGTTATCCACATTTAGTGTTAACCTGCAAAACGGATCATTGAAGTGGTCACAAGGTCAAGGGATGGCGAATTTAGGTGCAGAATTTCTTTTATCTACAATTGTTTCCTCCTTTTGTAGGATTTTGATTTAGACAACGTATCTGTTTACCTTCAAAGCTTGCGTGTCTTTTTCAACTTGGACATTCATGTTCTCTTCTTCCTAATTTTGCCAAAGAAGAGAGAAGATCCAATACTATGAGCTGCACAAGAAGGGGCCTTTTCCAGTATAGTAACATGTTGTCTGTAAAGTCAAGCATTGAGTGCTTGTTTTTCTTTAAGATTTTGTTCCAAGTGTTAGATTTTTGGGACCTACATCAAAGAAAGCAAGCAATAAAATTTGCAAGTCAAATAACCATATGCTTTCACAAGGAATTTACTTCTTGAACTTTTTTCAAGTTAAAATTTGACGAATTGCTATTCGCGCTATTAATTCTTGAGAGCAAGTTTTGGGAACTGACAAGCGAGTCAATTCTGTATCATGTTAGTTTAACTCTGATACTTTGACACTGATCTCTTCCTTTTTTTTTTTTTCAAAATATCCAAATTTAGCGGTTGAGTGAGCAGTGCCTATTGTTTTGCATTATTGGGCTACAAAGTGGGAGGGATTCATGGTTTTGGTCAGCATTTTATTTTCACCGGCTAAGTTGGTTTTTTTTGACTAGGAAAAACTATAAATTCCTTTTTTCCTTTTGTAATTTGGTTTGCTGGATGGCTTTATGTTCTTGCACGAGTCCAACTTTGAATTTTGGATGAGCCTGATATTATGCATGTAGAGTGAAAGCAAATCATATTCACTAATATTCCATTTACTGTCCTGTTAGTGCTTTTGTTGGATGATGAAGTTAAATAGTTCCTTTCTGATGTAAAAACCATGATTCTGCTTCATTTGGTGCAGGAATTTTATAGATCGCCATTGAAGTCAGATATTCAACTGAGAGGATGTAGTTGGTTGGCTGCCTTTGATAATCTATGTTAGCATTTACCAATGATTTGTACTTGTGAGATGTTTTCTCCTTAATGAGGCTTCCTTTTGTGATGTTACTTTTGCACATTGTGACCATTGCCAGAATTGTCCCCTCAACTGATTAGAATTTTTGATGTACGTTCCATGGCTTTTTAGTACATATGATGCTGACTGATATTAGAATCTCTTTCCCTCCCCTTCTCTCTCTTTCTGTGGAGTTAGTGATACTGGAAATGAGAAAAAGCTCCAAGTATGTGGAGGTATTATCCTTGTTCATTTTCTCTATCCGTCCATCTCTTCTTCTTTCTCATTTTACTCTTTGCTAATGTTGGAAAAAGTTGGCATAGAAATTGGAAATTGCCCAAGTGAGTTGGAGCAATGTGAATTGTCCTTGTCTGGATGCAACTTGATTTGTATATCTTTATATATCGCACTGCTAATGGGCATGTGCCAAATGGACCTTATTGAATCTTGACTTGTCAGTGAATTGCAGGTTAGAATGTCTTTCTGGCAGGAGAGAGGTTCTATTGTTCGATATAGTTTTTGGATTTCATCTTGTACTTGGCATGTATGTTTAAGGGCCACAGAAAAATTTTTATCACTGGCCATTTAATCAAATTTCTATTCATGTGTTCGAAAAGCTGAATCTGCAATGCGGTGGTGAATATTTAGTGCAATAAATGGTCTCAAGCTGCAAGCCTTGTCACCTCGTATTTAAAAGGATAGGAGGAAACTTTACATACTAACCTTGTCTGGAAGTTCCTTAGAAACTCGCAAATTGGTGCATCTGTTGCGAATTTAATTGACTAAGAAGCAGGTGGCTAGAGCTGGCTTTTCTCATGTATTCAACTTGTACGGTCGTGCTTCTGAAATCACAAGTCAGTTTATAAGGCGTCTTATCATGCCATTTGTTCTTTTTCCACCTTCTATCAGTGGTTGAATTAGTGGGTTTTCTGATATGCATGTTACTAATTGGATCATGTTCATCTTTCCCCATCTAAGCTTGTGCAAGGCAAGCAGAGGCTTCCAATATGGGAGGGTGAACATTTGTGAGGATAATGGGATTTGATCGGACTGGACTAGGGTAGGGTTGGCAACATCCACGGTTGGTCCATTTGCCGGCACCTGTTTAACCAATATATTGACAAATAAACTGATCTAGAAACGAGTGAAAGGAATAGAGAACATGATGCGTGATTGGTTTTACCTAAGGAATACTCCGTATAATGAGATTAGCAAATGTTCAAAAACTCCTATCCAAAAACCCAAATAATTAATTAGATTTTTCACCTAAAGTTTACTGGTAGACGTACGTCCCAAACAGGCCACTGTTCTTTTTAACAATTTGGGAGTTGAAGGGATTGACGAAAATGGGGAAGGTGTGAGATTCCAACTTAAAGCAGTTCCAATGCATGGCCCAAATCCGCCCAAAAAAAAAAATGCAACACAATACAGCTATTTACATAAAAGCACCCCTTCTCAATAAAAGTCAAACGAACAGCTTATCAACAGAGTCAACGAGAAGCCAAGGAAGGTACAAAAGAAGGCAGCCTTTTGAAACCTTCTTCCTAAGAGCTTCAGTAGATGGGGTGGCATCGCAGACTGACAGGCCCCAGCTGACAAGAACCTGTAAGCACCAAACAAATGCCATTTCTGATGTCATTGCCCAAATACAAGCACAATTAACTTTTGGGAATAGTAAGGGCAGAGCTCGCTCGTATAGAGAGTATCTATCCAAAAGCACGGACTTTAAGCTGGACAACAACTAGTTGCTCTTGCCCATTCAAAATGCCAGTGTTTTGGAAATCTTACAAGTACATCTGTAGAAAGTGAATTCTTATTAAAAGAAACAATATCTAGGTAATCAATCCCCTTTCCCTCACCTGCCATTGCCTTCCAGAACCGGGGGAATTGTTAAAAGCAAATTGAAACTAGAGAGCTTAAATAGTTACATGCGACATATTCATATTAAAGCATTTCTCACCATCCATTAGTAGAATCCAAACAACTCTTCAAGGTCAGAGTCCTCGGGATCCCAACGAGTATAGTCATCATAATCAAGATAAAATTCATCATCATCAGAGAAAAAATCAAGATCGGAAAATCCAGATGGGTAGCCATCAAATGAGTCATCATCATATATTGTTGAATCCCATCCATAACCTTCAGTGGAGTCATAGGGGCGCTTCAGAACTTTAATTTGTTGAGCACATCTTTTTCCTAATTCCCCACTAAGGTAAACATTAAAACACTGCCGAACATCTAGTGATTCCAAGTGGGGGCAACCATCTAGAATAGCTTGCAGACCTTCGTTTGTCATCTCATTTCCAAAAAGCGAAAGATGGCGCAACCCAGACATGGTTTTGGCAATGGCAAAAGCCTCCTCATCACACTCACGTGGATGTCTACGCCCAGTGCGGTTCAATGTGAATGATTTCAACAAAGGGCAAGAGCGACCGACTATTTCAATACTCGACAGTTCTGTAAAGATAAGGTGCAGCTCTTCTAACAAAGGAAATCTTTTAACAGCTTCAATCAGACCTTCGTAACACATACCATAACAACACGCAATTTTAAGGCGTCTGAGTTGACCTGATCTGAAAAATAATGCGAAAACACTCAGGATGGAAAGAACCAGCAACAAAAGAAAAAGATACAATTCATCCATGCAAAAAGGACGATATTAGGACAATTCAACTGGTTTAGTGCATAAGGGTTGAGCCAAATAACCTAGAAGATTATACCTTTGTTAATAGTTGATATAGCTTTCAATGACAATAAAAAGGAAGACATGCACACGACACATAGTCTGTCTCTCTAAACATCAATCGCAAGGAAAATGAAAATTTATACAAAAAGCAATTGTGGCAGAGATGCGAGTATGAGCTCCAGCAAACATCTTTGAAGCCTAAAACTAAGACTGAAAGTAAATCAAACACATTAACATAAGAACATAGAGGACCTTTTTTTTCAACAAAAAAGGAAAAATTTAGCAGGAGAGGCTAAGATTTTTAAGAAGTGTGGAGGGAGGAGGGATCTGAAACCAGGACGTCTAATCCTTGGGACCTTAACCTTAACCACTAGACTAAGGCCTCATTGGCAAAAATATTTTTTCTAACAGTAATATCCTACTCTTACACTATAGAGGAACACGGAGACCTTTCATCATGCTATGAAATGCAAAATATCAGAGTATCACTTCCAGTTACTTGACAACATTATCAAGTCAAAATCAACACTCAATTCTAAAGTATTTTTAAAGAACTCATTATAGACAAGAAATGATCATACAAATTCAGTTCAAAATAAGTCTATCCTAAGCTCCCAAAAATATTCACCCATCAAGACCAGTGGAGGAATCGTGTAACACCATTCTATCGGGGACTAAAAGTTCAATGATAGTATAAACAGGGTCTCATAGATAACCATCCAAATCATCTATTATCATCACCTGTGCTGGAAAGGTACAACCCCTGAAACAAATCAACTAACCAGCCTACATGGGATCTAATTTGTCAATAAGTTATATCGGCGCAGAATCTTCAACAATTACTACCCTACGACCATGTTACATGTAGAGCTTGAAGCAGACACCATTTGTTAAATGTTCAAAGATTATTTATACACCAAACAGTTCATTGGTTGTACGTTAATTGTGTGACAGCTTGTCAATTTGATGTACAAGTGGATACATAGTACAAAGATGACTCTGTTCTGAACATTATTTAGGCCCTTCAATCCTAGGTAAAGGTAACATTTCGACATAAACTACATTTGTCAAGTTTGTTCATACGCCTACATTAGTAGCATTATAAGCAAATGAGTTCACACACCACAAACACATAATCGGAAAAATAAAATCCCCCGATTCAAACTTAAAAGTAGAAAAACGAAAGCAAGTGGGCTGAATCAGACAAAATATACCTTTCAGCAATATATTCAAGCAATTCATCAGTACCAAAATACTCAATATTTATAGCAACCAACTGGCCCTGGCTCCGGTCAACAGCGTGGCGGCACATGGTTTCCAAGTTATAAGGCATAGAACCAAGATCCCCCAAATTATACATGTCAATCTCTCGCCACATGGCAGGATCCTTGCACACATTTCGCCAAGTTGTACACACTTTCTGGGCAGTCTCCAGCATTTCAATTGCACCCAGCCGGTGCAATATATTCGCCGTTATATCCCGCGGCAAGTCCGCCCACGGCGGCGGCGGCGGCGATGACGTGGATGCTGCCGATGAGTCTTTTCTTCGCCATACTTGTTTGATCTTCGGGCGGGGTTTCTTCTTCTTTCCCTTTCCACCCATTTCCTCTTCTGAAAATTTTGAGGGTTTGATGAAGTTTGGGTTTCGGTGGTCAGTAAAGGTGGAGTCTTATTGTTTTAGTTTTTTTTTTTTTTTGAACAGTCTTGACTGATCGATATTTTAGAATATTCTAACATTTCGATTTGGTTTAAGGATCTTTTATTCTTTTTTTTTTCTAAAGCTTTTAATGTTGTTTGAGAGAATAAATCATAAATGTACATGACATTGACTAATTTTACTGGGGCAAAAGTAGTTAATCTAATTATATATATATGATTAATTTTCCTACGTTGACAATAGATACACTATCAGTATTTAATAAATAATAACTATGTAAAATTTGAATTTGAAATTCAGCTTTTACACACATATTATGAATCAAACGATAACAACGGTGCTGTATATAAACTGTCGCTGTATATAAGATTTACTATATATATATGTGTGTATATGTGTATGTATATGTATATATAACAACGGTCTAGCCTAGAAATATGTTATGGGTAAGGTGAAGTGAGGTGGGAGAACATAGGCGAAGGATTAGAACCTGACCTTGCACTTAAAAAATACTTCAGTCCATCCCGATAGCTATTGGACCAAAGTCTTTTTGGTATCAAACTAATTGATATATCAAAGACATTTAAGCTTTTGTGTCATGTACTTGTCCAGCACTTTGGCTATCTAAATTTAGTTGATAGACGATGAATCCCTCAACCCTAGTTGTATAGAGCAAGGGTTTGAATTTTTATTTAAAAATGATTATAAATTTACTTGCGATGCTATTCTTGGATGAATGATAAGTAATGTAACTTAAAAATAATGAGCTTTGTACTAATTAGTGAATAGTGAAGATACACAATGCAAAAGTATAATTCTAATTACCACGACACATTTTTCCTTATAATGACAAATTTACCCTTTATAGGATCAATATAAGTTTTGACTTGCAAAGGTTGTAATTGTTATTTTATAAGAAATTTCATATGGAATTAATGTTGGTGCACTAGGAATATCATTTGTCTTTGTTAGATGGTCAGACTTTGGGGAAAAACGTGTACGTTTTAGAACGAATACAAATCCCCTTTAGAAGATCAAAATCACATCCTGCTTTGAAATGTTATTCAGAATAATTATTGTAACGTTTTTTGTGATGTGACATATGTGAAATAAAAAGGTGATTAAAAATATCAAAAGGTGAAATAAAAAGGTGATTAAAAATATCAAAAGGTGAATTGAAAAAAGTGTGTATGATGCAAGCGAAAAAAATTATTTAGAATAACGAGTTATCCAAAATTAACATGTTAAATACCCTGAGAAAAGTAAAGTATCTAATACTTTAATCTGCTTTTTTTTTCCTGCAACAATAACATTCTTATAACCTAATCTATCATGTTTTACAAAGAGAAAGAGTCTAAAAAAATTGTGTGAGGGGCTAGCAGGTATACAAACTTGACTAGACCCCTTAACAAATACAAATCCACTTTAAAAGACCAAAATCACATCCACTTTAGAAACCAAATTAACATGTTAAATATCCGGGGAAGTAAAGTATTTGATATTTTATCTGCTTTTTTTCCTGCAGCGATAACATTTTTATAACCTAATTTATCCTATTCTACAAAGAGAAGACTAAAGAGACTATATGAGGAACTAACAAGTGTACAAATCTGACTAGACCAAAAGAGTGTTCTTGCACTTCTTTTGAACTTTTTTCACTGCAAATGAACTTTGAACCCCCAACCTACAATCCAAAGAAAAACTTAAATCCTTTTCGATGGTAACTGTTCTTTAATCTGCTTTTCATTCAAAGCATTCCTAGAGCAGCTCCCAAACCACCCCAAAAAATGGGATTTCTCTTAACTGTGCAGCGCTATGCTGCTAGAAATCTAAAACTGCACTGAGCCACCAAAACCCAGTGAAGGTTTGGTTATAGAACAGTTACTATTCCCTCAAGTACGAGGCAGCTGGTTATTTTCCCTGTACTTGAAACAAGCATTTCCATTACCAGAAAGGAATGTTAACAAAACTCTCTACGCTATGAATAGGCAAACAACCCCAAAAGCCAAACGACTAAGTTTAGTCTCGAAGATAAAGTCAGCTGGATTCAATTCATCATAGCAGAAAGTTATAATCAGGGACAGGAATAAATAACTGCCACAGAAACGGAACAGGTGGAGGGTAAGAGGGTTTTTTCCTTCTTTTCTGGGTTCAGGTGCTGGTGGGCAGCTCTGGGCAAAGGAGTGCAGGTGAAGGGCTGGTAAAGAAAAGGAATCATAAACAGGCAAATGTATCAAGTTTAGCATCCTATATTTAAACCTTACCCATATAAGCTATACACGATGGTGAAAAACATCCTAAAAGCTCAAGACTAAAACCTTCGTGGCTACAAAAATTTTTGACAAATACTACAGGTTTATAATTTTAGTTACATGGAGTAGATGTCCAGATCCCAATTGACTGACATTCTCCAGATACAGTCTATGATTCCTGATCACTTGCACGGTGATCTGAGACAGTTCCCTCAGATGACATTTCACATCCATCAGGCTGCCTAGCTCGAGCAGGATCAGACTGAGTTTTGCTGGAATCGTGACTTTCAGATTGATCTTGTTTACCCTGACCCCACATGTTCTCATTCACCTTCTCGGCTGACTGTTCATCCTGGCCATCCAAGTGTTTTCCTTGGTCGGCAAAAGTTGAAGTTGCCATTCCTGATGGACCTGGTGCAGTGCATGACGCAACCAACTGAAGCACTGCAGGAGAAGGTGACAACTGGGTAGCCATTTTCTTCTCACCAGCTGTATTTGTTGATGAAGATAATTGATTCATCATGTCGAGGCTCAAAGGTGGAGTTCTGCTGTGGGGTTCAACAAAAGGATGTCCTGTAGTAGAAGCTACTGATACTGGAACCTGAGGAAATGGCAACTCTTGCAAAGCAGAAGTTGAAGCAACATTCTCACACAGGAAGCTGCTCTGGACATCATCGAGGGTTCCTGCAACATCCTGCTTGCATTGTTTCACTTTACGAGATCTTTGTTTCTTCTTTCTCTTTAAGCTTCGCCACGGATCCTTTGGTCGGGATGGAGGTGGGCCTGGGACAATAAATGGAGGAATCGCAGAGTTCTTGTCCCCATATAACAGGCGAACTGATTGTGCTACGGCAGAGACAGTTGGCGGTAGGTCATGCTCAGTGGATTTTGCTGGAGCATTCACTGCTTCTCGAAGCCAGTGAGGCAGACTACTCCTTGAAGAATTGTATTCCTCAACCACTTCTTTACCCTTTGAATCGCAAGTGCTCTGAACTTTGTTAAAATCAGAGCACAACTTTGACCCAGAAGATTCACCCGGTCCTATGTTATGCAAATCAGGCAGAATGTTTAATGGTTTCTCCATAAAGCTTGGCAATTTCCCAGATCTATCAGCACCAACTTCATGCTCCGTTCCTTCCAAATCAAGGTTGCTAGAGCTATTCAAACCAAAAGGACCCAAGCTGCTAGAGCTTTTCAAACCAAGAGGAGCCAAGCCGCTCGCTCCATATGCATTCATCAGGAATGATGAGTCTCTAGGAATACTTGATGAAGACATCAATCCATCACAGGGGCCACTCATCAAGTCTCTAGAAAAGTTGGCCCATGATTTGTCCATATTCCAAGGCGGAAGAGGTGGAATATGATCACCAGGAAGACCTAGATTACGAGAAGGTTCTACATGTTGCAAGCTGGAAGGTAGATCACTCAATCCCAACTTCATGTCTGTGATATGACTCTGAAATTTCGATGGCCCACTTAACTTGCTTCCGTGCAGAGCTCGTGTCATCATCCCATCAGATATGCCTGGAAGTAAGGAAGATTTTGCAACTTTTGAAGGCTTCGATGCCTTTGGGAATGGAAATCCTTGGCCATCCAAGAGCTTGAGCTGTTCCTCCTCCCATCTTGCTGACAAATCTTCTGCAGTTTTATATTTGGAAAATCTTAACTTTGGATCTTGTAGCATGGCATCCCAATTCCCTCGTCCATGTCTTCGAACACCAATCCACAGATAATCTAGTTCATCTTCAGACCAGATATCCATTTTCGCCTTCTTTTTGAGCAGGTTGCTTGATCCAGATCCTGTTCTCAGCATAATGTTCTCAAGCACCTTTCTGTGATTTCCAGGAAAAGATGGAAATGAAGGTGGCATTGGACCCAATCCCAATGTTGGAGGTTTCTGTTGTTCTTGCTGACTATACCTGGATATATCTTGTGGGGGAAATTTGAGATTTGGCAACAATGGCATAGTTGGTAGTTCAGGACGATAGTTAGCATCCATAACTTTTGATCGCAGTGACAAACTGGGAAACATATCATGGGGTGCATGCGCAAGGTTCTTGGTTGGATATGGATACCTTGGCAGCAGACTCTCATCCAGAGGGAATTTGGGTAGCAACAATTTTTCTCGAAAGCTAGAAAAGGAGGCACCAGAATTATCAAAATCATCCACCCGACCTTTTCCTTTAAGATCAAGTGCAGGTTGCTGCAAATTCAGTAGGAATGGTGAGCAAACAAAGCTAACTAAGTTGTAGAGAGAGATACAGAGAGAGAGAGAGAGGGGTTACCAGATTGGACGGGAGAAAACTATTTGGGATATTGGGCTTTGAATGTTTTTCTGAACCATCACATGAAAGATCTGGCAACTGGTATCCACCTAAGATGGTCTCAGGTCCTTTAACACCCATAGCATTCATGCACCCAGAGGAAGGAACTGCAGGAAATGGGAAATCAGGTCCAAAGTCTGGCCTCCTCTGTCTGCAGTGGGATCTAGAGAAATTCCTCTGTGATGACTCCATTTGACTTGCATTAGGAGCATACAGTCCCAAAACTGGCAACAAATTGTTGCTGGGTGCTGAGCTCATAAAACTCGTCCCTTGTAATTGATGACTGAATGGTGATCCAAAAGGGAACTGTTGCACACTAGGTTTGACTGGAAGATCTAGTAGAACATCTGATTTTGGCTTTTGTACTTTCCCCAGCTTTTCGATCTTGTTTGTTCTCTCAGGCATTTGAACTGATCTCTTATCTACCAAATCTATTGCAGAACCACTATCTTCAACAAGCAGAAATGATGCAGTCTTTTGGTGTCCATCCTGGGCATTGGGTGGAGTGAGTGGAGGAAGCGTCTCTGGCCTGGATAGTCCCCCAAAACCACGTGCCTTATCAGTTTTTGCCTTAGCTAGACGTGCTTTCTGTCTAGCACTAAGCCTTGCACTGCAAAGGAACAAGCAAATTTAATATCGAAACCTTGAACACAAAGTAAATCTACAGCATCAAAACACCAGTGTGCTAACTATAGTATCTGACTAGGCAAATTAATCACAGAGATTGCAACTTAATATTGTTTAACAATATTTGCTGCACAGTTTACTGCCATGTATGTTCAGAAAGCAATTGACCTCTACATTTAAAGCATAAAAATCGGCCAAAAGTAAAACATTTGAAATACTAAACAATGATAAACTCACTATTTTTCTTTCCAAGCACGTCCTGCTGCAGTGTACACCCGTACTGGTTCTGGTTCTGGCTCTGGCTCATCTTCTGCCCCATTCTGTAAGGTCATGAAATAAAGAACCACTAAGATAAAGCTCAAAGCAATTACACGATTCCCTTTGTTAACAACGAAACAAGATTGTCTGTCTGCAACAGCAATGCAATTCCCTTCAAGATTTCAATTATGAATCAGGTATAAGATGGCTTGTTTTAGCCACATTATTTATGTGCTTCTGAAATAGCCGATAGACAAGACAACAACCTCCAGATATGAGCACACAAACATAATCTTCCAACAACCAGTGACCATGGGACCTTGTGAGTAGGCTTTCCCTGTTGGTGGTTGTCACCCACCCCCTCCCCCGGGGGCAGGGCGTTGAATTGGAAAAAAATAAAATAGGTTAGCTTTCATTTCAACAGTATTTTCATGGTGCTTCCCGATGACAAAGATGAAAGAAACCAATGACAGTAAGAATAAACTGCAAAACACTAGCAAAGGTTAGCATCTAAAAGAAACCAAAAGATGCACCAGAAATTTAAAATTAATCAGTGAAACAAGCAACACCACCAAAAACTAGTCCAGCTTACAGAGAGTGCAGCTTCCTAAATAACGGTCCATTGTACATCCCAAGGCATGATGAATAACTTGGTAATTGAACTCCACAAGTTCAAGAAAGCAAGAGTTCTCTCTCTGCCACCACCACCACCACCCCCAAAAAAAAATAGAGAGCCCAAAAAATGTAGTATTACCTTCGTAAAAAGATATTTCAACAGTCCATTAGATGTTGAAATGCTTGTCAGGCAGAAAGCCCATCAAATATGACCAAGTTACACTTTGTGCTACCACTTTTCTCTACTCAACATTACAAGAAATAAATGGAAACAAAATACATATATTAACAAGTAATTAGATCCGAATAGCTCCAAGAATAAAAGATTCAAAACTAGCATCGGCATATGGTCAAACGACAGGTCCAACTGGTCTGACTATGGCTTGAATTGTGCATCTCTAAGCAATATAAATTTTCACAATAGAAACTTCTATGTAACTTAAAAGTATGAAAACCACAGAGGAGAAGTTAAGAAGAACAAGATTTACCTCACTCAATGTTTCACTAGGGTGGGGAGCATATGCTTCTCTATAAGAAACAGCTTTCCTTTGGCGTTTCCCTCGACCGAGAGCTGCTTCCTCCTCACTTTGGTACTTCTCCCACCTATAAATTCCAGACAGCATATGGAACCAGGATATGAGATTCCTCCCAAGAAATCAACAGTTTACAGGTAATGCATTTATATAAGAAATCACATAATTTATGCTACTATAATAACTCATAAATATAATTTATGCTACTATAATAACTCATAAATATATACCTATTAAATTATAGTAAACAGAATATGCCTCAACTTATCATGGAAAGATATCTATTCTTTAATAATAAAAGCAAGATCCTTCTCTGGAGCCACTACTCTATCTAATAGGTCAAGTACTCGAAAAAGAAAGAGCAATTTAATATAACTATATGCTGAAGTGCTGTTTCATAGGCCAAACAGTTTTGTTTCATTTCAGCCAAGCACATGGACATACTATTACGGACTTGAACAAGATTTTATTGGACAGCTTGCTAGCTATTGAATAAAACCAAATTGAGCTATATTCTCATTCAAAAGTATAAGCAGTATCACCACAATACCCTTAGTCCTACTACAACATTTACCTTTGATCTTTAATTTGCATTGGTCAATCTTTTTGATTTGAAGAAAGAAAAACAGAAACAGAAAGAAGAATAGAGTTGTATTTGGTTTAATGTTCTTTGTGAAGCCTGCATGCTAGAGTATAATCCCTGTTCAAGAAGGTCCAGATAACAATCTGTTCTATAGGTATGACTCCATCTCATCAATCATCGTTAGGACCTTAGGATTCTTCCTCTGTTACCATCTTGATAGCAGTTTTGTTTAGATGCTTGCAGCAACAAAAGTTGCAACCAATTACTGTAATCACATATTTGATAAATATCAGGTCCTCATTATACTTTTGCCTCCCTTAAAATTTATTATTTCAAGTACATCTATGAGGGACACTAATACTAACATCAACTGAAACTTCTAGCCTCAACCATCTATAAAAATTGAGAAGCCAAATTGCTGCAGAAATGGTGCCAGACTCTTTTAGGACTGAAGTAGATTTCTATGCTGCTTAAACATTGGCTGATGATCATTGATTTTGAGTTTCCAAATTAAGTCTGATTCATTAGTTGTCAATTAAGATGCACTTTAGCATTACTGCACTAGTGCTATTAGACAAACCCAAAAAGAGATTCAAAGGACAGTGTCTGTAATTCATTCTTCTTACATTGGTTGAAACTTTGGACATTGTTCAACATCAAAACTTTGAGCCCAGAAAGTGACATTACATAAAATGAACCATAGAACTACACTATACCATGCAAGGAACACAGAGGTGGAATGACAAGACGAATGGACCCCTACCTCACTCGAAGAAGCCTGTCCCATTCATTCTCTTCAGCAATACCCACTAAATTATCCACTTTCTTGTCAGAGTTCTCTATGCATGTATCATCAGTCACCATGGGAACAGGTGCTGTTATAGCTTGTTCTTCTGTTGGCTCATCATTCCACTGAATGATAATTCAGAAAAATCAGAGAGATCAGATCAATAGAAAGGTATTAATTTTGCCTCAATATGTTTACAATTTTATAGCTACACAGTGAAACATTTAAACATCCAAAAATGCTAAGCAGGTGTAATAAGCACAAGACATTGAGGAAACATATATACATAAAATGTGAACATTTTCAAGTTTTCTTGAAAGACTTTAATAAGAAGAAAGTAATATAGGCAAGGAAGAGGAGCTCTGTGAAATTAACAGAGATGGTTTGTGGAGCAGAAAGATCACTAAAACATGAATTCATATTACTATACAAGAAAAGTTACAATGAGCTAATTCTTTACATTCAAACCTAATATGGTTCACAATGTCAGAGTTGGGTTCTGGGTATAGATTTTGCTATCAAATGGTGAGACTGTAATGTAATTCATAATTAACTTGACTCTTAAAGCATATAAGCATAAGCTCTAGTCATTTTTTGAAAGAGAAGGGCAGAAGGAGAAGAAAAAAGGTAATTTAATCACTTCCAGTTATAATTGACATATGTACCCTAATTGTGAAAAAAAAAAAAAAAAAAGAAGACACACTGCCAATTCCACTCGGCTTCCATATTTGGGTATCAAAGGGAGATATTAGACATGCATAATTAAATGGTATATAAGTTAAGAGAGACAAGAATAGCCCATGAAGGGAGAGAGAGGGAGAACCATATGCTTCAAGAGTTATCTATAACCTTAAGGGCTTAACTAATGCCAGCAGCTAACAATTAAATCATCTAAAAAACAAAATGAAGGGCGATAAAGTTGATATAGTGGTTCAGTGTTGCGGTGATTCCATGATCCAAAAACATGATTTCGCAATTCATAAGGTGACCCTAAGCCAAACATTCAATAATTTTTAGAGATAGTAGCAATCCACACGCAAAACTTGAAGTGTAAAATATAATGACAATATGAGGACAAGAGTATTAGCTCATACATTTACTGAACCAAGCATGTCATTCTCCAATTCCATTTCAGCATTATCAGGTGAACTTGACTGGAGATTTGAACGATCAAGCAACTTTTGAATAGCATTTTCATCCCACAGAATCTTGGTGCTTATATCTGTACATCTATCTTTATACACATCACCAAGGCTACCAGTCTTCCTTTTATGCTTATGTTCTGTTTCAGCAATTGCTTCATCTTTGCTGCAATTGTTTTCACCTGCATCTTTTCCATTCATGCTTAAAGAATCTCCAAAAAGTTCTTCTGTTCCCCATCTCAAAATATCTTCCACCTCCTTTGGTGAGTCAAATTTATTGACAAAAAGGTGATCAAGCATTAATTTCTTCTTGGCAAGTTGCAAGATCCGTTCTTCAACACTAGCACGTACAACAAGCCTGTACACCAAAAGTCTATTTGACTGGCCAATACGATGAGCCCGATTCATTGCTTGAATATCTGCATGCGGGTTAAAATCAGAATCATAAATGATGACAGTATCAGCAGTTGCCAAGTTGATCCCAAGGCCACAAGAGCGTGTTGATAGGAGGAATACAAAGCGACTTTTGTCTTGGTTAAAACGTGTAATTGCTGCTTGACGATCAACGACACACACAGATCCATCAACTCTCTCAAATGTCTTCGGTCCAAATTCAATGGTCAAATAATCCTCAAGGATATCAAGAAGCTTCGTCATCTGGGAGAATATAAGGACCCTATGGCCTTCTTTATATAACAACTTGAGCATTGAATGCAGCAGAGTCAACTTTGATGAAGCCATTATTCGCATTTCGTGAAGGAACTCAGCAGATCCAGATTCAGGCTCGGTGCCCGGCATGAGATAAGGATGGTTGCAAACCTTTCTTAACTGCATCACTATAGTTATCACATGCTGCATGTCCCTTAAATAAAGATTAGAAGAAATACACATCATATTTACAATCCTTCAATTCTTAATCTTCATATCTAAATGGGTTATGCGTATGGAACCAAAATAGGTTTATATAGAATATATTGCACGTCTACATCGTATTGCCAACCACCCACACTTGATCTTTTGACCTCTTTGTTTTCACTGTTTAACAAAAAAGAAGAATAAAGAAGATAACCCACTACGAAAAAGCACATTTTGCAATAATCACTCATGAAGAAAGAAAAGGAATAAGGTCAAAATCAAGTTGCCTTTCTCGGCATCATTCACTTTTTTTTTTTTTAAGTACTTCTGTAATTCTCATTTTTACACTTGTTTTTTTAATGGGTCTATTGGGCAGATTATTATAGAGAATATGGGTGAGACACGCACGGAAAAGAAAGATTTTTTTTTGCCTTTTTACATCGCTGTGGTCAAAGGTTCTCACATGATGTCCAATGAAATTAAACATATTTATTTCTTCGATTTAATTTTTCTTGAATTAAATAAATGCTTACATAATCAAATTAGCAATTTGCTTTTTTTTTTTTTTTTTGTCAATTGTCATCCCTACTCCTATCTACTCCTACTCTAGCTAGAGGGGAGAATCAACTGAACCTACGGGGGACCGATGGGACAGAACCACCACCGGACCAGACGGGTGCATAACACACCCGTCTAAATTTGAAGAAGAACCATAAGAATGACACCCGTCTAGATTTCAAACCTTATCTCCTATCCCATCAAAGCCTTAAGGGCTTGTGGTGCCCACCAGCCGAAGAGCCGGTGGTTAGCAATTTGCTTATTAGATGCTTTCGTTTTCAGTATTTTTCAGTATTAGATGCCATAATGAGTCATGGGCGTGAAACACGTAGAACAAAAGATAAGGGATTCCACCTTTCACATCACTTTGGTCAAATATTCTCACATGACGTGTAGGAAATTAAAAATATTTTCCTATTTAATTTTGTGAATTAATTATACATGCTTTACCAATTAGAATTAGCATTTTGCTTGTTAGATTGTGACATCTTCAATAGTAATTAAATTCAAACGTGGCTTTTTTCTTTTTTTTTTAATACTTTTTCTAGTTAAGGAGTGGAAAGTTAATTTGGCAGACCTCCATGTCCAAAAGTGCTGCACTATTCCCCTTTGTATAACAAAATACTAACGAATTCAAAAGCAAACCAGCCATTTCCTAATAGAAGACCTGGAGCAAAAGGAATGACTTGTTGAATTTTAGATAAGTATTCAAAAAAAATTTGAGAAAAAAGACATCAAAGCTACAGGCGGCAATTCTCGACACGACCAAAAAACACGACTCGAACTTAATATGAAATTAGCGAGTATGAGTTTGCTCTTTATGGGCTCGGATCAAAATCAAGTTAGGCCCGAATAATCAGCCAAGCAAATAGGTCTAAATTAAGTCAATCACGGGTTGACTTGTTTGATCCATTTAACTTGTTAAATGTATAATTTTATAATTCAATAAATAAATTGGCGACATAAAGTAAATAAGATAATTAATTTAGGCTATCAATTAGTATTATGAGAACGCAATCATGAATTTTATGTGAAAATAATAGATTTTGTTTGTAAAAGTGTCACAATTTTAGTTTTGTTCATGATTTTTTTGTACCAAAAAAAAGGAAAACTAAAAAAGTACCGCAAGCAATATATACATATAGGATTGGGCTGCAATTTTTATGTTTTTATGGAAACTTCATTATAGAAAAATCCACCATACTACCAGGGTGAGAAGCTCAGAAAAAAAAGAAAAATTAAGCAAAAAGTTATTCTAACTAAGTTCGAGTAACCCGCGAAATTAACAGATCAGTGTTCGAATCAAGAAGGTCGAACCATTCAAGTTTGCAACTCAGATTCAAGTTGACATATTATTATTAGAATACTTGAATATTAACCCTACCGGTCAACTCATGCCTGACCGATTGTCATATCCAAAGCTCTACCACTAAATATCTTCGAAGAACTTGAAAAGTCTATCACCTCAAGCCTCTATACCTCGTACACTACAGTCTTAACATTATCCAAAATTTGCAATTAAAGTTATAATGGAAGAAAATATTATTGTTTTCAAGCTTTTAGCTTATGGGTTTTATTCTGTACAGAAAATTATAAATTGAGAGACATGTTTGAATTTATGGTTTCCTATTTTCCCTATACGGTCTAACAGCAATCACCAATTCTGCAGCCTTGAAAAATGTTCACCCTTATGTCTTGATGACTCCAGTTACATATATTGTTTATTAATGAAATCCCAGGCACCAAAACTCATTTTTTGTTGCTTGATTCTTGATTGTCTTTCCTCGAAATCCCAAGCTTGACAAGAGATGTATGCCATCTCATGCATACAGACAGCAAAGCAAAGGTTTGGAGTTGAAAGCAGATCCGACTCTCAATTTCATGTAGATATTGTATATTCTACCCTGAGTTGTTATGAACAAAAAATTGACAAAGAAAGTTTATTATGGTTGTATTAAATAGAATGAAGCAAAAAAAAAAAAAGCAAGTAGAATTTCGTAGTGCAGTTTTACTACTCTATACTGAGTAGCATTCTGATCACTTGACCCCTTTTCATGTACCAGAAGCATCCAAAGTGAACCATCCATTAACTTTCCAGTAATGAAATTCTCAGTTTTCCTTCATTTTATGAATGGAGGAATGTTGTTTACAAGAGCAACATTGAATCTGATGCTCTTATACAGAACTCCGCTTGACTTCACAATCCTCGGAAATTAATGACAGAAAAAATAATCAGCTATCTAGCAACTGAGTAAATCGTTTACCTTATAAGGGATTAAAATCCATCTAACACCACCCTAGGGATCTTGAAGATTCCTCCTATAACAAGCACTGAAAGCGATTACCCCAATGCAATAATCTCATTGAGGCAAAAAAAAAAAAAAACTTGCCAGGGTGGTAATGGCAGCAGTCTTAGGTTACAAAAATCGACTGCAGGAATGACGATTGGAACACCACTTATCTTCCATTAAGATTGAGTAAATGGTCCAGAAAATCGTCTTGCACGTAGATTTTCTAGAGTGCGTGATACTAGCGTTAACCGTTCGTCATCTTCAGGAATTTCCCGTCTCTGAAACAAGAAATTAAATCAGAAAAAGACCAAAATATAGACTACCAGCAAGATGTCACAAGTTGGATGAGCTTTCAACAATTGCACAACTAGAACATTTGGTGAGGATACTTCTGCCAACAGATGGAAGACAGCTAAAGCACATTAAGAAGCTTCATGTGCATCAAATGCATTAACATATACTGTAACTCATTTGTGCTTGCAAAACAAAGAGGATAGGTTCCTCACAAAGACTGGGCAAAGAGTAATACACGACTTTTTGGGTCCTTTTGCCTCAAAGCAACTCTTGACTATTCAATTAGAGAACAGCTTTCATGATGTACATGGATGACATTTATATTGACAAACAGATAATGCAGAGGAGAACATTTGATGAAAGGGGTCTAGAACTGAAAAAAGAGAGAGAGAGAGAGAAAGAGACAGAAGCATTCAGGACCAAGACAAGGGCACTTACTTTTAAACCGTTGTAATATGCTTCAACAACTGGAAGAGATGGGATGAAATTGCGAGCCTGCATCATATCCCAAATTGGCAGTTGTAAACCCACCAGTCTGCAAATATGTATCAAAAAGTTTGTAACAAAACGGAAATTAGTGGGGCAAAAAAAACAAGAACCAGAAGCATATTTACAAGTGTAGAAGGCTACCGAAATCACTCCCAACATAAAAAACTCAGTGACAGAAGTGTCTTTGCTCTCTCTCTACTTACTCTTCACCTGAGGCTGCAAGGAGGAGATCATTTCCTTGTTTTGGGCTAAGGAAAAAGTTTCTGGAATTCATATTTACCTAGATGACCATAGACACCAGCATCAATATGTTGACGATGCACATATATATTATTGCACAACATCCGCAATGCAATAGGACAAACACATATTACCAGTGTATCTTGTGCAAGTTGCATTCCTTGGCAGTATATCCGCGCATTGCTCCTTCAGTCAGAGTCTACAACCACATAGTCGAGGGTAGTCATGGTTACAGAAAATCCATCAAAAGCAGGACAAATTGTAGTTGAAGAAGGGTACAGTGCAGAATGAGATGACAAGATCAGATGCTAAACAGGCAAGACTGGTGCATAAAGTTACAAAATCGCATTACAGGCTGGAATTATATAGATGCAGCACCAGCTTCACTCCGTAGACCTTTTCATGCATTTAGTTAGTAACCTCCAGGTCACACCATCTGGTAGGTTCACTAGTAAATTGCTTTAAACAGATAAATGGTCCATACATAAGGAAATTCCTGTGAATATTTTTACAAGAAACAATTTTAAGACAGAATCCAAATCTATGGCAAAAGGTGATGGTTACAATGGAGCATCAAAGCCCCTACACCTAAAAACAAGATCTCGCTTCAAGACTTCTATTTTAGTGTAGCAAATTTTCAAATCTTCAGCATTTATAAAAACTAATGCCCTAAACAATCCTGCAATCTCCACATTTGTGCAAAAGATGGACATGAAGAGCAACGATTTATCATGAAAGTAGCACTTAGCAGGTAAAAAGAGTGTTCACATTTCTTCCTTCAATAAAAATGCAATAACTAACGCATTAAATTTGTAAGAGTATCAGCTATACTAGCTGCAGCATCGCATTCCAAACTTACAACGTAAAGCTCTGGAACAGGTGCTTTCCCTGAACTCATGTAGTCTTCAAAGATCTGCTGCCCACGGTCTATGTCTCCAGAATATAGATAGCACCTACCAAGAAAATGCAATGAAACACTTTGTACAAGTGCACTTTTGGGTCATGATAAGAAAGTCAACAAATTGGAAGCTGCTTTATAATAATTAATGTGGAACGAAAAATGTAGGATACATGTCCTGCTATGATGCAACAATAATGGAAGATAGGGACCAATGAATCTACTTAAGAGGA